TAGGCATGGATGTCGGCGAGACGTCTGGGCTTGAAGCAATGGGACGTGGATACCTCCGCTTGCGCTGAACAGGAATTGTGTTGGTAGTGGTCACCGGATCGACAACGTCATCGTCCGCTGTGTTCGATTCTTGACCTCGATATTGCTCTTCCTCATCCTGCGGCTCGTCGAGCTGCGCCTGCACCTGCTTCTGCTGCTCCGCTTCATCCTCCTCCTCCTGTTGCTGTTGCCCCTGCCCTTCTTGCGGTTGCGGTTGCGGTTGCGGTTGCGGTTGCGGTTGCGGTTGAAGGCGAGGTTCCTCCCGGCCCTCATCGATTTGTAGGTGCTGCATCAGGTCAGGCACCTGGCCATCTGCATCTGCCTGCCTCGCCGCGGCGGCCTTCATTTTGCTGATTTCGAGCTCAAACGCCACGTATTTTCCGGCGGCTTGTCTTCCTAACTCCCTTTCCGCGATGGACAGGTCAACCGGCAGGCTTTTGTCCTTCGCGAGCTTAATGCAAGTGTTCAGCGCGCTCTGGAGTGTCGCGCGATGAGTCTGAGCAACTAAACAAAGTGTTCGCGGTCACGTACGAGGAGGCGCGTCCAGCTCCGACACCACGCTTCTTTCTCTACATACAGCGCGGGATCCTTTTCAGCAGGAGCTGAATCCACTAGAGTTTGCATCTCATCGCAGAGCTCGCGAACCTTGCGTCTCAGAGTGACGGTTTCCTCGTCATCGGGAACATCAGCGGTCAAAGCAAAGATGTCGATATCGGCGCGGTCAGACGACATTATGAGGTTAGGATGATGGAAGATGTTGGGAAAAGGGATGAGTGAGGGTTTGAAGCCAATTTATAGGTAACATGTACCAACATTTGTGGCGTAATTCAGAAACTTTACGATCCACTAACCCGATTTGGCATGCACTCGGAAGCAATGCCAGATCACGTGCCACGTACCAGGAATTTTGCTAAGTCTGAAGCTTGTAACCGATGACGCTAGACACTCAGTATATCAGCACATATGTGGCATTCTCGCAGCACCTAAAATATACCAGTATGTGCTAGTAGTAGTGTGTTGGCTGCCTCATCATGCCACTCCGCGCTCAAATCTCACAGTGTAATGAGCGCCTGCCTGACGGCTCCCAACGGGTACCGGCTCTTTCCTCAGGACCGTGAATGAAGATGAGCCGTTAGAGGGCTCCCAACGAGGACTGGTGCATACTTATACACCATTTGGTTCACTCTCTGCCAGTGGGACTGTCCTCCTCAAAGAACTTCATGTCCTTCCACTTTGTGACACATCTGTCGCCTCCGCCGCAGGATTCCATCTACTCCACCCTCACCCTGATCAACCCCATGAGTTATGAGGAGGATGTGAGAGGAGACATATCACGCGGCCGTTTGTAAGCCGGCTCTCGATGGGGGAGCCGTCATCCTACATGACAGGCAGGGACATATTGTATCCTATGACACGTCTCCTTAACATAAGTAGTCCACACCGAGAGCCGTCTGATATTTCCAGTATTAGTCCCTAATATCTGTGGTTGCAGACACGGCGGCATTTGAAACCGTCGCAAATCCATGTTTTTCAGTCGAATGATATGTAAGATAGATGCGGTCCCGTTCGGGAGCCGTCTTACAGTTTGATACTCATCCGACTTGGACTCCACCACACTCACGGTCTCCCTAATGGGAGCCGTCTGTATACACTGGTGATTATGCGTCCGGTCTACCATATATGACTGATTGTCCAGCATCACCGGTCTACAGACTTCAGACTTAGCAACATTTCTGGTACGCAGCACGTGATCTAATATTGTGTGTGGCCCGTTGAGACACAGTGTTGACCAAATCGGGCGAGTGGACGGTGGAATGAATACATTAAGCCACAAATGTGGGCGCATGGCTGAGGAGTCGCTGTTCCCTACAAATTCCCCTCCTCAACTTCATTAATCACTTGTCTTCTCATCTTCCATCCTTCCGATCTTGTCATGTCGTCTGAAACCAGCAACACCGACATTAACGTTGTTGCTAGTCCTTCTGTCGTTCTGGATGACAACGACACTGCCGCGCTCACATGCGAGATTCAAGCACTCTGCGATGCGATACAAACACTGATCGACGCAGTGCCTGCCGACAAGGACCGTGCGCCATATGTCGAAAAGGAAGATTGGTGCCTGCGCTGGACGCAACTTTTTGTAAGTCACTACAAACTCTTTTTATGTCATTCTCATCATACCGCACCAGAGTTCTCTGATCGCCTGCCTCAATCATGCGAAGGACAAGCACTTGCCGCTTGAATTGTCCGTCGCAGCAAGGGAGTTAGGCGGGCAAGCGACGCTCTTACACGACGCGTTTCAGCGCGACATCCGCAAAATGAAGACCGCCTCGGCGAGCCAGGCGGATCCGGCTGCCCAAGAGATGGAGGAGACGGTCGAGAAGGTCAAGGTGTGTTTCTGCTCTCATTTTATAATATAACTCGCCGACCTATCAAGCTGCTTCAGACGCAGACACCCCGGATGAGCGTCGCGACCGATAAGGTCAATCCTGTCTCATGCACCCGTTGCGCCAACATGGGTCGACCATGCTATAGCAATAGTGCTGGCATGGTTTGCCTGAACTGCAAGCGGCTCAAGGCCAGATGTTCTCTTGTTGTCGGTGAGTTCTGTGTGGTGTTGATCATCTGAAGAGTTCACCATTGATTCACTCTTGGACTGTAGAGAAAGGCAAGGCAAATGCTGCTCCCACAGCCGTCCTGGCTCATATGGCTCCAAAGCCCAGCGCGGCTCCTAGGCACAGACCTGCACCAAGGCATGTGCATGCACCGAAGGACAAGGGCAAGTCCAAAGCCAAGTCCACGGCCTCGCAACATCCTCAGCCGGCTGCCGGCCCCTCCAGCACAGCTAGCGTCCTCAACAGCAGTCGCAAGAGGAAGGAGGCCGAAATCGAAGACGAGGTAGACTCCGAGAGCGACGAAGAGGCCGCTTACATGGCAGGGAGGATTGAAGCTCTGCCCAGCTACATCTCCGTGGTTGATACCGCCCTCAACGCATTGAAAGAAGAAGTCAGTGCAATTAATGGATATATGTCCAAAAAGCGCCGCCGCCTTTAGATCCAAATACAATACATACGTGACATCAGTGATTTACATACATTATACAACGGTTGGTTGGTTGGTTTAGGTTAATCCCGTGATCAGACGACAGTGGGCGATGAGCATGCCGGCTCCCATTGGTGACCGGCTCTGTCTATGTACCAGGTGATGCAATATGCGCATGTGAGGCTCACAATAGGAACCGCCCGTACCCTACATCACACCACGTCATTTCATTTAAGAACATTCGTGGCCAGAACATCCGGTTCCATCCTTCCCTCATGTGCCACTGCCTTTCGTTAAACCGGAACCGGGGGCTCAACCGCCATCGCCATGGTTGGTTGGTTGGTTGGTTGGTTGCCTCCCTGCACTCAGACGGCTCCACATGGGGACCGCATCTAACCTAAATACCATTCAAATGCCAACTTTGCTATGAGACGGTTCGCAATGGAACTGTGTCTGTCACCACACATCTTTGAGATTACTACATTGCCTGTGAGACGGCTCCCGTTGGGGACTGCTCCTCTGAAGGTTGCTGTTCAATCACGCAGCCGTGAGACGGCGGCTCCCATCGGGGACCGTATCCGACGAGAACCGATTGTGCAGCACCGATCTGTGAGACGGCTCCCATTGAGGACCGCATCTGTCAAGAACGGATGTCAAGTACCTGCCTACGAGGCGGCTCCCATTGACGACCGCCCCGGGCCAGCACACGCACCTGTGAAGCGGCTCCCATTGGGGACCGCACCTATCATGCACACTGGTCAAGCACCCCACCAGTGGGACGGCGCACTTACACAGACGGCTCCCAAAGGAAGTCAAGATCACTGACAGGCGCGGTCCCCCATGGGAGCCGTCTCACAGGTGGGTGCTTAACACAATTGTCCATCACAGAAGCGGTCCCCATTGGGAGCCGTCTCACAGGCCGGTTGCTTTGCATCCGTTCTTGACAGATGCGGTCCCCAATGGGAGCCGCAGTCTCATATATTGGGGCGCACAACTAGTCTGCTTGACACATGCGGTCCCCGTTGAGAGCCGCCTCATATATGGGTGCTTCAGAGATGCGGTCCCCAATGGGAGCCGCCTCATAGGTGCATGTGTATGTATGTCCGAAGCTCATGATAGGGCGCGGTCCCCAATTGGGGCCGTCTCACAGGTGGGTGCTCACACCTCTGTAAACAGATGTGATGCATATCCTCAGAGACACACTGCATATTTCAACCTAACCTATTTATTTGTTATGTGCATGCATGGACAGTTTCCGAATGAAATCACAGATGGGCATAAGGATCAAATTCTATTGATGTTAGCTTGATTTCCAAAATTCAGTTGCAAATATAATCAATATGCACCCGTCTGATGGCTCCCAATTAGGGCCACGTCTGTCAAGCACATTTTCAATCCAACCAACCAACCAACCAACCATCAACCATCAACCATCAACCAACCAACCATCAACCATCATATTTGAGATGGCTCCTGTCCGAGATTGATATTGTTCCTTGGCTGCAAGGTACTTATTGTCTGTGTTCATTTTCATATCTAATCCTGTTGCTTCAGATCACATTGACCAATGTGAAAATGATGACCCTAAGATGTTCAATATTTCTTTGGTCACCAGTGCTTCCCACATCATGCTGTGCAAATTAGCAGACTCCGAGAAATTCAAATACTCCGTCCCAAACACATTGCTGGAACAGTAGAAGGAACCAACATCAACATCAACATCAACATCAACCAACCAGTGGTTTGAATGTTGACCCCCCTTCTGGAAAAAGGCAGCATGAAGATACTACTCGTGATTGCCAGCCTCAACAACAGACTCACTGTGCTGCTCATGGATTTTCTGTTGTTCACGAGGACCACCACAGCAACAATGATCCGCCCCGTACAGAACACCACCAGTGGTGCTTCAGCTGCAGAGGATGCAGCCTCAAAAGCGACTGCATGTAGAGGATTATGGTAAGTCCATGAATTCCTTGCAGATACTGTTCTAATTGAGTGTCTGACAGATCAAACAACATTTGAATCTCAGGCTGCTAGCTTGAATGCACCAGACTCATGCATCAGAAAAAAGACAAAGGTAAGCTGAAACTGACATCTTCTATTGCTATTTTCATTCAAGTTGGTTTCCAGGTTGTACATTATGATGGTGCTTTGCGTATTGTCCCAGCCTATCCTCATCCTTGACCTTGACCTTGACATTGACCTCACGCACCCACCCCTGGCTGTGGGCCGCCTTAGCACTGGCATCATGAGGTACGGCAGATGTCTCCACATCATGTTCAAGCTTATCGGCATAATGTGGCCCATTCTTGCCATGATTTTTCAGCTGCAGGCCCTTCAAGAGTGGTTGGTTGCAAGGGGATGTGAGAAATATGCTTATGGCTTGTGCATCAAGCATCATGGTGGATCATGAAGAGGTGATGCTTGATGGTTGATGGTTGGTTGATGGTTGATGGTTGATGGTTGATGGTTGATGGTTGATGGTTGATGGTTGATGGTTGATGGTTGATGGTTGATGGTTGATGGTTGATGGTTGGTTGGTTGGTTGGTTGGTTGGTTGGTTGGTTGGTTGGTTGGTTGGTTGGTTGGTTGGTTGGTTGAATAAATCACAAGATCAGTTAAAGTATAGAATCTTAGCAGCAAGCAGCTACCCAGATAAGCAGCCCAGTCACTGCGGAAATGAGATTTTAGCCAGATCCTAAACAGAGGAAGACAGCGTGTGTAAAACGACTCTAAATGTACCTACCCTTGTAATCAGATGTAAATCCGACGTGTAGCAAATTTTGTTCGCTCAGTCCGAAGCAACACATGTAAACAGACGCTTTTCCAACATCGCCAACACGTCTATTCGAATCCCGTTTATACTCTTCAAATATCTGCTATTCTACCACTAATCAACACTGCATAGTCAATATTTCAACATCTGTTTAGGCCGTGCTTGGAGCAAAGTAAGTTTTTCGAAAATTCATCTAAGTCCCGCGTTACAGCTTGCACTTACTACTCACGCTATAGCAGCCCACAATGCAATCAAGCTAGAACTGCCCGTGGAGGTGAAAGCATTTACATTCACGTTTGAGTGCAGAACACCAGGTCCCATAGTAAGTCCCTTGTGCAACTCAACTGATGTCAACTAATTTTCTTTGCAGACCATTGAAATATCTATCGGAAAGCCTCTCCAGCAGCTAAGCTCACAAGCTGGTATTGTAGAGGGTTCCGACACCAGCGACATGCACACTGAGACACCAGGAGTGCTTGATGATTGGTTAAAGGCCCAGAAAACTGTAAGCATTTGCATAGTAATGATATTGATTTATCTTACTAAATACATTTCAAGCAATATCAATCATTTTTATCGGACATTGTCAAGGGAGGTCCTCCAGTAGTGGACGATAGCGTGACAGAACCTGAATCAGAGCCGACTGCTGAAGATATCGTGAGTTTTTCTCAGTTGTATTCGTTCGTGTCGCTGAATAGCACATATTGTAGAAGTGTGCTGATCAAGTGCTTATTAGCAGTACTGAGAAACTGGTCGACATCGTTGACAAGAGCGTGACTGAACCTGAATCAGATTATGATGTGGATCCAGAGCAGGAAGTGCAGACTCCCGTAGCCTTCACCCGCTTCTACGAGGGCATGAATGCGGTACTCTTTCTTTTATTTATCCACTAGCAGTAACCCATGGCTTTGCCACGGTGGACTATCGTCTGACTCAGAGGAAAGCAAAGGTGCACCAATAGATTCAAAACATGGCATAGCAAATACATGTATAGGTAAGTAGCAAATGTGAAAATAATGTACAGTAACTGTAATTACACTCGCATTCAGCTTCAAAATTAGGTGCGACCACGTTTGGATGGTGTGCCGTCCTCAGAGCTATCGTCGAGTAAAGAGTGTTTGTTTGCTGGCGTGCGGTCGACTTGTGAGAAGCTGAATTTCAACTGCGATCGGCCTGGCGTTGGGGTTGTAGAAGTAGCGCCTTGCCATGTACAGTGTGTAAGAATGATTCAGCCTATAGTGAGAAGACGGAAAATTAGTACTCACCATGTGAACTTGAACCAGTTGATGCAATGACAGGACGGCCAAGGAATGTGATGCTATCCTGCATCTCGCGACGAACCCTGCACAAAGTTAGGATAAACTTGGTGTCGTGTAGTGCGATTCTAAGATAAAGATGATGGTCAGCCCATGCACCGAGAGAATCAAGAGCTGCTTACCGGATAACTGATCTCGTTGGATGTAGCAGGTCACTTGTGCGCCGGGGAGTCAATAATTTGTGGGTCTGTGCATGGGGTATTCTCACCACGGTCCTCCCATGTCCGTTTGCTTCTATGACCTGTGTTCGAACTTGGTAGATCGTCAACAGTGGCGTTTGGCAGCCTGTTCAAGGTGTCACAGAGTGGCTGAGATATGTCTTGCTGCTGGATGGTAGTAAGAACAGAATAAGTAAACAAATGAGTTGAATATCATGTTACCTGGAGAATGATATTCTCTTGCAAAGCATGTCGACTGGTGGCAGACGTGTCAGATAGAATATCTTGAGTCACTTCAGAAGACCACAGGTTAGACTTAGCTGAAGGCAATCACATACCTTGCAGATCTGATATTAGCTGCACGTGTGTGTATCTGTATAGGCTGCAGCACTGAATCTGTATGTAGCGCTACGCTGTACGCCGAGCGCCAAAATCTGGTTGGCCAGCGAGTCAGGGATGTGATGAAAATTTAAAATTGTGCCAGCCAATGAGAATGTCTTTCGAGTTTGTATGTCAAGTTTGTCTCTGGTGCACGTGACTGAGCGATTTTATTATAGAAGATACTATTAGTACTTACAAATTTCCAGCGCACCAGAGAAGCTCAACCAACCAACCATGATTCGTTCCTAATTTCAACGCGTCACAGGTAGCTCTATGTAGTACCTGCTCATAAATCTGTGTAAAGTAGAATGCAAAGCTCATGTGACACATCAAAATGCGTCCGATTCCCTAAGTCAAACACATACACCTCCGAACCCTGTACCGAAGATTGACCAACATGCCACCCCTCGTACGCTGCTACTGCAAAGTTACAAACTGCAATGGTGTTCTTGTTCCACCTCACATATTTCGCTCACATGAGCGCTCTGATTTACGTCAACGAACTCTTGCTGATCAGGCCAACTTTACCCGGAGTGTTGGGCAACACGTCATATCACAGGATGTTGGGCGAGTTCCTCGAGGATTTTTGGTTCCGTTACACGAACCTCTCCCTCCCTTGTCTCCGGAGTTTCATGATCCTTTGGAGGATGCCATCTTGGATTATGGGGTACTTACAGATGCAGATCTAGGTATCCCAACACCAGGCAGCCCCTTGCCCAACCTTGGTCCTAATATGCGCAGTCCCGAGGCTCTTATCGCGGCTGTCGCACACTTTGACACATATAACAAAGCGACAGCTGCTGGGACTCGGCCCTTGACAGCTCACGACGTGCATGAACTTCCTCATGACCCTCACCAACATGCCTTCAAACAACACCTTGCAAAGGCACTGGAGCAACATGTAGACCAAGCAGAGGATGGCTTAGATGGCCTCAAAGCTGAGGTTGAGGTTGAGGTTGATATAGATGCGAACTTTGATGATCAAGATGAAGATGACGTCGAAGTTTTGAATACTGGACTTAACGAAGATGACCCTGACCCATTCCTAACAGAGGAACCACTCAATTCGCATGATGATAAGGACTTTACTGCAGTCCTCCCGCACCTTCTCACCATATATGCACTGGTATCATGGTTACATCTGCAGTTCCATCTGCCATGGGTGGCATGCAATGCCTTACTCACCATTTTTGCATGCCTTCTCATCTCACTTTCACCGGCAATCGACACGCCTTTCATCACTCTCCAATCAAGCAACCGTGTGCTTGGCGTGGACAAGTTTACCTATGTGCTCCCTGTTTGTCCCATTTGCCGGGACGTCTATCCCCCTGCAGGATCCACGCACTTGCAGGATACATGCGCAAGTTGTGGTATCGACTTATTTCTTCCAGATCAAACCAAACGCGGAAATCTATGCACTACAAGATCACCCGTCATTAAGTATCCCTATCTCCCACTATCCGAGCAGCTCAGATCATTGTTCAAGATCCCTGGCCTGGAGGCTCTTCTTGATTCTTGGCAAACGAAGCATCGGAGGCCAGGTGAATACAGCAACATTTTCGATGGGGACATGTGTTGTAAAAAACTGCGAGGTGCGGATGGTAAGCTCTTCTTTTTAAACCTTCCACAAGAGAAGAATGGCCCAGACAGGGAGCTACAGATTGGTGTCAATTTTGGATGTGATTGGTATGTTAGTACTTTGAATATTGTGACTATTTGACGTTGAGTTTTCTATCCAGGTTCTCGTATATTCACAGCAACATAGCACCATCCCACTCATCTGGTCCGACATCATTTTCGATATGCAACCTCCCACCAGAATATCGGTATTTTCATGTTTCCAGTGCTAGACATATCATTGAATGTCGTCTAATCTAGCTATCGAACATCTAACTTAATGAGTACGAGCATTCTTCCAGGCCCGAAAGAACAGAATCCCGACCAGATCCAGTGCTTCCTTCGACCCATCGTCTCCGACCTACTTCATCTGTGGAAAATTGGAATACAGTTGCCCACAGAATCAAGCCCTCAAGGTATATGTTCCAACTTTGTTGTGCAAATCTCAAATACTGATTATCGAGTCTTTCAGGTCGACTTGTGCGCGTTATCTTAGTAGCCGTTGTCTGTGACAAACCAGCTGCGAACAAAATTGGAGGGTTTGCGTCTCATTCTCATACGCACTTTGTACATGTTGCTGGATCAAGCTCGACAACAAGGATACACCCCAATCATTTCAGCAAGGAGGTAAGCGCAACCTTATAAGTCTTAATCAGATGTTTGATTGTTACCGTAATAGCATTTCGACCACGCACAAACACGGAACAACGAGATCTAGGTGAACGTTATCGAAACCTTGCTACGTCGAGTGCCCAAAAGGCCTTTGTGAAAGAACACACTACTCGATATACGCAACTCTCACGTCTCCCATACTTCGACTTGGTGGAACAGATCGTGGTTGATCCGATGCACAACCTGTTCTTAGGTAAGTTTTCTTACTCTGTATCAGTGAATTTCACACTTATGCTCTGTAGGCCTCGTCAAGACGCACTTTTACAACATTTGGGTACAATCCAAGATCCTTCGGCCAAATCACGAACTCGACACATTTCACAACATGCTTGCCGATGTAAGTTCAATTCTTGTCTTCAAATACTTACTGATCTATCATATAGTTTATCATCCCGGGATCATGTGGGAAGTTGCCGACTGATATTGGGATGCCCTCGGGGGGCTCACTGACAGCCGATCAGCGGCTACTTCTGGCGACAGTCCATGGTCCAATTGTGGTAAGTCGTTCATTAATCTTTCACTACGTACTATCCCTACTAATACCACTTTCGGATTCCACAACTATGGAGCACCTGTCTTCCAACTGACGCGGATGACGATATCCTTCATATGCGCGTCACACAGATCAAGCGAGCGGAGAATCAGAAGGAAGCTGCAGCAAACCACAAAGCCGCACAGCAGCAAGCCCTCAATGAAGCAAAAAGAATGGTAAGGACACATATGAAGCAGAAAAAGCCCGAATTGCGCAGGAAAAACTCGCAGCAGCCGAGGCCAAGACTCAGGAGAAATTGAGAGCGGCCGCCACTAAGCAAGCTGAGAAAGTGAGACTAGCAGCGGAGAAGAAAGCAAAAGCGGCTGAGCAAAAGGTAAGTATATATTCTGTATATTCTGTGTACACGCTGTTCTAACCTTCAGATATCAGGCTTCTAAGAAATGCAAAGCCACTGCGCAAACGGTCGACAACCTTCCAGAGGGTAAAATATGTCCATCTCCTCCAGCACCAGGCACAATCCCCGCATCTGAGGATGTTGACGACGCAAATGAAGATGTTAAATATTCACTCCACCCTGATGATCCCACTAACTTTCTCAAGCTATGCACTGCGCTGCGCATTCTCATCAAATGCCTGCTCTCTGACAAGGATATAAACCAACCACACTGATAGACTAATTCGTGAGTATAACACGGAACTTATACATGTACGCTGTCTGATTTCTATTCGTTGTCTTCTCTATGGCTAATTTATCTTCAGCTCTATGGTTCTAGCGTCCTCAAGCCCAATCATCATTACTCAACTCATGCCGGCGTCTGCGCACGCAATTTTGGACCGCTTCATGACTTCTGGACGTTTTTGTTTGGACGTTGTAGAGAGTGATATCTCTACAGGCTCGTATCCCCTGATTTCTACATCGACCTCATCCCTATCCACAGGTGAGCGCGACTTTCCCGCGACCTTCCGCACCTTCCGTGCACTTCCCGCGCTCGCGCTTCCTCAGGTCCATCCATCCATTGTCTATTCGGTCCATAGGTGCGTATTACATACATATATTGGTTTTCTGACAGCCACTATCTCATTACATACATCTGCGACATTCCTCGGCCGCTTTAGGACGCTTTTTGCTCCCTCTTCGCTAGCTATCCTCTATATCTACTGGGCTTTCTGACAGAAGGGTCCGACTTATGCAATCACCCTTAGTAGAGTTCCGCAGTTTGTGCTATGTCTTAGGGAGCACTCCTATAGCCAGGAGT